AAAACATGCTCAAGGACATTACAAAAATGCTTAAAAAAGTAAAAAAATACCAAAAATCAACAATGAAAATCTTTTAAAAACATATACATTATCTATCTGGTTAAAAATAAAATTCAATAAACCGATAAATACGCAAAGATATTTTGTGTACTTTCTTTACTAACATTGATTTACATTATTTTGAATGTATTACTCGAATGAGAAATTCGCCTAAACTTAATTTATGTCTCAGTTTTTCTAGTTGTTTTATAAAGTATAATATATTTTTTTGAAGTGTATATTCGAGTTTCACAACATAAACAAATTCATTTTTAATTGGTGTAAAAATAATAAAAAAATTCTTTACCTGAGTATTTAATTATATTCTTGTTGTAGTATTAGTGAGAAAAATTTTTAATATTTCCATACCATGTCAAAATGTACGAGTGAATTTCGCACATTGAGACCCTCTTTCTCATACGTGATACACTTTTTCTACTAGCAGTTAGCATATTTGGGAGCATCACGCATTGATTAAGATGGTTACTCAAATAAACAAGCAAGCACGTGTTGAAACACTAAACCCAACGTAGTATCACTATCAATGATTTCCACGTTGGAATGGTGAGGAAATATCAAAAATTTTCCAGTAAATAATAACGCAACCTAATTTTTTTCTCTTTTTTTAATAGCAATCATGATCTAAATTGTTATAATACGAGTGGTACTATTCTATTCGAAGTTTATCAGGTCAGAACAAGAAAGAACATTAATAAACCATCTTCTTCTTCTTATGTGCTCTGATATGAAAACGTGTAGATAAAAAGCTCTTTGTTGTTTATTTTCTTTTTCCTTTTTTCATATCGAATAATGTTTTATCATAGTGCATAGAAGAGTTTTTCCCACATCACTGCATTTTTTTCTTCTTTTTTTTCTTCTTTTTCAACCATAGAAACTGTGTGGTACTGCAAAGATAGTTATTAATTGTACAGTCCTCTCAAACACGAGAACGAACTAACAAAAGAAAAACCAACAGTTCCTTGTTCTATAGTACTTCTAAACCACATACAAAATTTTTGTACTGATAACTTTATAATTGTTCGTAAAGAAGACAAAAGAACCGTCATTTTTTCGTTTGTTCTATTTTTTTTCTTATCTTTTATTTGCTTACTGCAGAGCCTTGCAACAAGCAATTTTATATATGGCATGCATGGATACTTATGACTGAATTGAATACATTATATAAAACATTGTGCATACTTGTGTAATATATCCATAAGAAAAGAATATTGAGTGATTGTTGTAATGTTCGGTATCAACGTTGTGCGTGATCAGTAGTAGTATTTTCAATAGCGAAACCAAATAGTTTTGTCGCTAATTGCAATAAAAGTATCCGACACTGCCACCCGAATTAAAAATTTTCTTTATATTTCTCAATACTGCTTCATTTACCTTTCGAAGTATTATCTATTTCAAAATATAATGGACAAAACTCTTTACAAAATAACTTTTGATACACAGACGATAAAGAGATGCGGTTTTCGCCAGTTTGTAGAAAACATTGGGATTCGAGCGTAGCAGAATTCCGCCACAGGCATCCCTATCGGGCGACCTTGATGTCGGGTAATCTCGGAAGTAAATGGAACATAGGTTTTCTATCATCCAGACAATGTTTTTGTCTCTCTCTATTTGATTGTTTTGTCTGAGGATTTCTGAAAAACGATTCCTAGAAAGCCCGTGTCATTGCACAACGCGTTTTTGACGTCCTTGTGTATGTCTACCATTAAATTAAGTGGGAGCACTTATCACATACTTATATTTTTCGTCAAAAACGCATTGTACAATGACACGGGCTTTCTAGGAATCGTTTTTCAGAAATCCTCAGACAAAACAATCAAGTAGAGAGAGACAAAAACATTGTCTGGATGATAGAAAACCTATGTTCCATTTACTTCCGAGATTACCCGACATCAAGGTCGCCCGATAGGGGTGCCTGTAGCGGAATTCTGCCACGCTAGAACGATGACAGATGAATGTCTGGGACTTGCGCGGATGTGCAGTACTGTAGCAACAGTACTGTGCAAACTGTAGCTTGCTGTGGGAGTCTGAAAAACGGAAACTTGCACGCAGAAGATCAATCAAGTACACCACCTGCACACTAAAAAATAATGTGTCGCATGTGTCGCAAATTGCCACATATTCTGTGACACAATCATCTGCGACACCGGGAGCCACTTGCGACACATTTTTTCCATTGAGGCTGCGATACATTTTCATGCGACACATTCCGCTGGGTATTTCTACCATAGAGAAAACAGTAGAAATTAAGTATTTTCGATCTCTTATTCGATTTTAAGAATAGTTTTAGTTCATTTCGGAATGTTCTACGTAGTGGCAACAAGCTCAATCCGCCGGTGATATTCACAAGCCTTCAAAATATTTAGTTTCCGAGATCTGGGATTAATGGCGTAGTCAAGGCCTCTGATTGGTTCTTTTTCATGAGAGAAAAAATGTTTAACGTAGAAAACAGTTAAAAAAGAACAAGAGAGGGATCTTTATCCACTAAAAACACCAATTCGAAATTGAAAACACTTAAAAAGTTTGAAAATTTTCTTATCTTTTACGTATTAGCGCCACCTATAGCACATCAAAATTGAAAAGAAGCCGAGAAAAATACTAATGAAGACTGCTGAAAATAGTAAAACATAAAATTTAGCAATTCTTTGAAGAGAGCAGATCCTGAAATGACCTCAAGAACTGTGCCTGAAAGTTCTTAGTAACGGCAACGCAATTATGCGACACCTTCTTTTGCGACACAATTTTCTCACAGGAGCTACGACACAATTTACTGTGACACAAAATGTGACACAATATTTTTTACGGTGTGCCGACAGGATTTTGGACTTGATTCTTTTACCAATATATTTCCTCCAGTGTCTGGGTAATATTGCCGGTAGGTACTGTTGCAAATATTTTCGAAAGAGTTGTATTCCAGTTTCAAGCAGTTTTATGGAACAATGATTGCAGGATAGACCTAATTCTGGCTGATAGAAATGTGATCTGTCGTGAATGTTGAAACGTTCAATTCGATCTTGTTGTCTGAAATTGTATCCTCGGTAAATCGGGATGGTTTCTGTATGTTCGACGATTTATAGAGCGTATGATAAGTGGCAACTCTAACATTTGGTCAACCGCATCAAGCAACAATTTTCCTCTAATGTTGCTGTCTACTGAATATAAAAGTCAATAGCATAACAAAACTGGCGTTGGATTTTCGTGTTCAGATCAGGCAAATTCGTTAAATAAATAAATGTTAAACGATCAAGGAAAGTCACTCATACAAGTTGCTATTCATAACTGTATATATCATAAGATATTATATCTGCAAGGTAATTTGAGTGTGAAAAAGCTGCCTTCAGCTTTGACTGGCAATGGTAAGCCTTTCACAAATCTATAGATAGACTTTATGAATGACCTTCTTTGACCTTAAGCTGCGTCTAAGTAAGTTAGACGCAAAAGGTGAGTGTAAAACTCTATGGTCGCTGTAAAAAATGCATTGATTGTAGAATTTTTGCATCTAACTCACTTCTACCGTTACATTGAATCATCGTCAAAAATTTGTCATCGTCGCTATAATCGTGGGTCAGTAAGAACTCTCCATTTTGGACAATACATTTTCAAATAGTTCAGGGCTCTATTTACATCTGACATACTTATATTCACTGGTATTTCTAGTTCATCTGTCCGACCTTTTCGAGTTGAACAATAAAATAGATGTCGTCTATAGCAGTGACTCAACATACACACTACACTTCAAATCTGGTTTACACGATACTTCGAAATATTTAAACCCTTTAGGTGTACTCAAATTTAATCCTCTTTCACATCATAATGGTATTAGCGTTCATTTAGTGAAAAAGATGCCGCGAATTCAACTGTACTGAAAAATGTTATTAAAAACTTTCTATAAAATTGAATTTTTCGATTTAAATTAATATTTTTTTCGGGTTTAATACGATATTCATAATAAGCATTAAAAATGCATGTAATTATGTATGATTTAGTCGGAAAGAAGAACAAACTTTTTTCGTATTTTCTCAGTATAGTTGACCTGTAAGACAAGTTGGCACACTACATAGTGATCATTAAACCAATAAAGATTGCCGCTACCAGTTATATAATACAGGTTTCCCAAATAATTGATACGTGTAGTTGTGACGAAGACAGACGTTTACTAGTTTCAAGATAATCTTTGAATTGCTCGCTGGACACTTTTCTGTAGTCCTGCACATTTCCATGTTGTTCTTTGATTGCTTTTAATGAACTATGACGGTTTTTTGTAACAGACGACATTAAAAGGTGTGCAACTCTGTATCAAAATAGTCTAATACAGCTAATGATTGATATGCATTAGCATAAACAATGGGAATTACGACATACAGTAATTATTATCAACAGCACATATAGCTAACGATTTATGTTCAGTGATGACAACTATTTCTAACGCGTGTGACGTCTGTGTTTTATTATTTAGTTTTTCATTTTGAGATATAAAAATCACTTTGAACTCGAATACAGGGAGGTTTCACAGGTTTTACATTTTGTATTGACTGTCATTTCATTTCCACTACTATAAAAAGGATAAATCTGACTTCATATAAAAAGTTTAGACTTTTTTCTTTATTAGTCAGTCTTCTCCAGCCTATTAATAACTAGTTGTTAAAGATACCTATCTTGTCATGCTTTTATTGTGTAAAACTGCAGTTTTAGTAACCTTATTGACATTAAAGTTCAACCGTTAGCAACGATACTGGGTCCTTGAATGAGGCATTAAAAACAACTGTTGCACTTTTATTAACGGATCAATAGCTTACAAAAAAGCAATGAAATAATTATTGTACTGCGTATAGAGCTGGCTGAAGACAAATTCTATAACGTTTATTTGATGTATATATTTACAGAACTGGAAAGAGAACTGTAAGTTTGATATTTGACTAGACATTGGTGCAGTTGTTGTTTATTCAATCGATACTTTTTCTTCCCAAACGAAAATGCATGGCAGCACGTTTACCAAAACGATATGGCATAGCTGATCGTTTTCCGAATCGATATGGTATTGCCCATAAACGATTTGAATCGCCACCATGTAGACCATCCCGAATTCTTTTACGAAACGTCGCACGTTTCGAGTGTTTTTGATGATGATGAGTTGATGATTGCGCTTGGTTTTGTTCATTCGTTGATAGAAATTCAATGTCATGCTCATCATCACCATCATCCTCTTTGTCTTCTTCATTTGATGATGATTGTTCACTTGAATCTTGTATTTGATAGTGTTTCAAAGTATTATCGACATCTGGTACTGCTACGTTTTTTTCTTTCAATGGTAAAAGCTAAATCAGACATTGAATGAGTTTTTAAATGCTGAGAAGAAGCAAAAGAGAAAACTGATGAGAATATGTCGAACGGAAAAACTTAAATGTTTGCCTCATTGAATTTGAATTCTTTTGAAATTGGGTGTCGCTTTGAATTTGTTTCTGCTACACTACATTTATAAAAATACCTTGTTAAATATTCAACTTTTTGTTTCATAAACATGTGTCTCAAACTATGATGGTTTGATAAACACAAAATAAGAAAATAATGTGTTTGTGAACATTCTCTATTCGAAATTCCTTCGGTTATCAACATTTGGCCGATCGAAGAAGCGTCACTTTTATTTTAGCCTCGCGAAAGTATGGATCCCTAAACTGGCACCCGGTAGTATTGTTTTCACATGAAGTTCACCTATATAGTCACAATAATTGTTAGAAAGCTCTTCTGTAGACAACCTCTGAAAACTTCTCAAAGAAAACTGTATTCTTTTCGCTCCAGATCCACCATGTATATCCACTCTCTGACGCATAAAAAATTAGCGGCTTCATTCATACTGAAAGATGGAAAGCTTGTCGCCATACAAAATCCTTCCGATATTCACACGATGCTTCATTATTTGAAAAAATATCACAGAATAAACGTGCATAAAAAGTCAATGCGCCAAATTTGAAAAGACCAGGATAAAACTAATCAAAGAATGCGTACAGGTAAAACATGTAGGATTTTGTAAAGTTGAATCTTTTCCCTTTTCAAATCTGAAAAAAAATCGTGGAATCGTACGATATGTCAAAAAAAAATTAGTTACAGGAATAACCCATCATTTTCAGATCGTGTATTATTACTAACAAAATGCTAGGAAAAGAGTTTGTTTTGATTTCACTCACCTCATCGTGTAAACGCGATTGTAATCCTGTTGTTGATGTTGTCGAGTGGAACAGTTGTAAAGTAAAAATGATTAAAATTGACAATTGGACGAGATAAATCGATGACATTTTTTTTTTTTTGTTTATTTTAAACTAAAAAAAAGAATTCAAATCCAAGAAATAGTTAAAATTCGTAGGAAACGTTCCTCAGCTATTATTTTCTCAACTTTTCTTCTTCTCAATCTTTGCAATACATAAACTATATGTACATTATTTTTATGACTCGGAACCAAGATCCCTCGCCAGTGTTTAGCATTATAAAACCGTATACATACAGCGTTACCACTAGATGTATATTGTAGAAAGACAAAATATTCAAAAAGTCTACAAATGCTACCGAAAAAACTAAGAAAAATTCTTGTATTAATAACGGAAAATAATGTGTCACATGCAATACAATAACAATGAATAATTTTGTTGATAGAAAAAGAGGACTGCTGTATAGTCAGCACAATATAATTTTCATAAATCGTACCGCTAGTCTTACACTCGTTGATCTAGTTTCTGTCATCCATCGCTCACATATTCTTCATGAAAAACTACGCATAAGTATATTTCACTGGAATTTCTTGTATTCAGAAGATAGATGATTTTTGAATCACCGTTCTATTTTGCTCTGTAGTTTATTTATATTAAGTGCAAATATTTTCATACTGGAATTTTTGTAGTGCTCAGACACAATTGTTCATCTAAGTCATGACTTGCATATACGAATAGTAAGTTCAAAAAAGTTTTCGTCAAAGACTTTAAAGAAAATTTTCTGCCAAGGTCTTGGGGATTGAAAGTTGTACTAGAGTAAATTTCAGATTAGTTTATTGCTAAAAATGATCTTGAAATAATTCATCACATTTTACTGGCAAAACACTGAAAATAGTAGTTCAGTTCTGGATGAATGTACTCACTTTTACTCTTCTTCCTACTCGTATTCCCGTGCGTTTCGAAGAATATTTCTATTTCGTGAGTTTGAGCACTAGTTATAAAATTCTTGTTCACGCATAAATGCGTGATTTTAAAACTTCTCCTGTTTGTCTATCGAATAAAAGTAAATGTAGTCTAATGTGATTCTGCACAGAACTGATGTTTCAGATTCCGCCTCCTTCTTTTCTCTGTATTCTTTTATTATCGTAGTTATGCAGTGGAAGAAATATAGACACTATTCATTCGATATTCATTCATATAACGTGCTGAAAGAACGTCATCTTTAAATAACACATTGAATCGTAAAATTTCATTCAAACAATGTATATTTTTCGTTCTATTTAAAAACAGAGAACTGAAAGAAAACGTCTTCTATCTATGAAAAACTCTCTTGCTTCACTTCATATCAGCTGATAAATAGCAGTTTTAGTACGTTGAGACATTGTTCTTTATTAGTGCTTTAATCATAATAATATAAAATACTTATACGTTCACAACTCGAGTAATTTATTACTGAATTTTCTAAATAAATATCTTATCACTGTTTAATAAAGAATTAATAATTCTTACTGCGAAGTTCTCACTTAGTCCTGATCTTTAACTCTACAAAACGGTATTTATGTTCATTATAGTAACGCTGAGTAGAATATAAATGTAGTTGAAATTTCCATAAAACTTTGCAAAATCTTTACAGAAGACTTTCACTTGAACATTTTTATATGAAATCATTCGTAGAATGATAAACATTATATAGGATATAAGAGATCAGAACAAAATGTAGAGTAAAAAACTTCATTAATTTTCCAAGGACTTCAATTAATCTTCATACTCATTGAAAATGAATTCTTTCTGAAAGAGATTCAGAAACTTCGTTGCCGATTGTCGACTATGACAAACGTCAATAAGCCGTAAATAGTTATATTTTAGCTTGCTGACTATCAAATAGAAATAAGTCTATCTACAAACCTGAATCAGATAATACATAAAGTCATTGTGATTCGTGTTTTTCAATCTCTTATAGTCCTACAACTAGTAATTATTCACTATCAAAGTAATAAACTATATTTATTGCACATCCTTATGACAAAAAAAACACGAATTGCTTTTCGAAAATAGTATACGAGAAGGAACTTATTAATACAAAGAAAAATACATAACAAACCCGCTATAAATAAAATGTAGCTTATGGCAATCTGTAACGTCTTCACACGGTACTTGAAGATCCAGTATTTTATATTGGAAAATTTTTAAATAGAAACGAAATTTTTTAACAAAACTCTCTTTAATACTAATAGATTGAGAAGAGAAATGGTGTTACCATATGCGTGATGATAAAAAGACAGAATTTTTTGCGAGATTATTCATTAAAACATAGGAAAATATTAAAAACTTACATTCAACACAACTGAAGTAAAAAAATAAATTAGCGGATTCTTCTAAAAATTTGATACTAGATTCTACAGATTTATGTCTTTTCGCTCATTTTTTTTACCTTTTAATTAGAGTCTCTCCGTGACAATTGCCACACTTAAAAAAGAAAAACCTTTGCTAATAATGCTGATTTATTATGACATTTATGTGCGATCAAGCTCAAATTACTTGGCAACTTGGCTATTATTTTAACACAGTCAATCATCTCTTTTTCTATCTCAAAACCTCTCGTCGAGATTAAATTTGTTTTATTTTTAAGTGAAACACAACCCAGTCTTATCTGAAAAATACTTCTATCACCTTTCTTTCCAAACAATTGTTACCCGGTCACTTAAAAAAATGTTGATGAGATTTAATATGATGGGTCAAATGTATAGATATATTTTTGTGTGGGAAGTGTTTAAAGAAAAATATCCCTACTCATGAAGAGTATTGCATGTATATTAGATAAACAAGTCACAATAAACAAAAAGAAAAGAAAAAGAAGAGAAATAATGAATTTACGTAATATATATTAATAATTGGAGAAAGCGAATTATCTAAAAAACAAAAAAAAAAGAACCTTTTTTTTGAATCATTTGCCCTGTATTACAATTTCAGTTAAAATTGATTTCGTTCTTACTATCCGTTCCAATCAGACTTTATTTAGCATACAATAAATAGTCCGTCTTTGTGTATTGATCATGGACACGCTTCCTTACCGATCGTCAAGATTGTTTTTATATTTTTCCGTAATATTTGTATTCCAATGATGATGCATGCACAACATGCCACTTCAACTTTCACACGATCATATTATTTTTAGATAAAAATAAATCATGTAGTCTTATTCTTACCAAATATTTTGACAGGGTAGAAACAGGCAATGAGTTGTTATTGATGAGCTTTGATACAGCGGAAAATGTTGTAGTAAAATGTTAATAATTTTGCAAATTTGAAATCATGAATTAAAAAACAAAAACTACTTTACAAAAGAGAGACTTTTTTTTCTTCTTCTTTTTTTTTTCTTGTCACTGATATAAAATCGAAGACATCAATTCTTTCTCTTCTTCTTTCATCAATCGATATAATTAATTAAAGAATCTTAAAGGGCTTGAAAAAAACAAAAGAATTATTTGTTTAAAATAAGAAAAGTTATGCGATTAAACAATTTCCTTTTGTTATGAGAGTGATAAAATATCTTCTTTAAGACTGTGCTATTAGACGAGAAGAACGGTTTGAGACAATTGATTAGTAAATGTTAAATATTCATATAAAGACTGTTATATAACGTTTCGAGTACCTTTAATCATTCATAGGTCCATAGATTATAGATTTCTTATAATATAACATTGAGTAATTCAACATTTTGCCACATTATTGATATACGATTAGTCGAATATGAGCAAATTTACTAGATTGTATCAAGATGGATATAATTTTAAACTGTATTCGAAAGTTGTGAAATGAAATCTTGTCAAATGATAACAAGTACTATAATTTTTTGAAAATGTTTTAAAGTTCTATAATAAACGCTATAATAATCAAACATATGATCATAATAAAGGATATCAATTGGCTCACTAATTGGACAAACGAAGCTAAATTAAATTTCTAAAAAGATTTTGTTTTAGTCAATTTAAATTATTTAGACTCTCTCTCTTACCTCCTTGATATTAAAATTAAGTCATATAATCCATTTTCTACACTCTGTTACAGTAAAGAATTCAAAAGGAGCTATCAACTACTCTAGCATATCTCAACTGCTCAAGTATACGAGCTGGAATTGAAAACAATTGTAGATTATACCATGTGAGAAAAAAATCTATTTATTTACAACTGAATCTAAAAAGATGATGCGAATTTTCATAGCAGAGTATAATCTGATAGCGGTATGTTTCCAACAAAGCTCATAAAGATAGTGTATCTATAGAAATACTAATTTTTCGTCTCCTAATTTAAACATTCTATGATTGATAAAGATAAGCGCAAAAGATTATTCATTCAAGTTAAACTTCATACTTATGCACAGACAATATATTTACATAAGTTGAATTTTCTATTCGTAAACAAACAGGTGTTAATTTTTTTGTCTAACTATAGAAATCACAACAAGAGTGTTAATGACTGTGAAAAAACAAAAAAGAGTATAGAATGTATAGTTTATGGTTACAAAGTGATTATTGTCAAGGTGACTTGTGAACCATTTATTTAACTTTATCTTGAATTATAAATAGTCAAAATAATCGTACAATGCCTACTCATTCATTGTACAGTTGTTCATTCAGTATTAATTTGACTGTATATTCATTTCTACTTTTCATTACTGTGCTGCTTTTGTCGTTGTAGAACGATGTGATTTTAGTTTATTTACCGTGTCTTTTTTCTTTTTCTCCATATATAGACTTTTTATGGATAAATGTAATTATGTACTAAATTCGTAAAAAATGTCTGAACGTATTGATCTACCGTGTCATTCCTCTCGATCATCATTATTATCGTCATCTAGCGGCTACAATAATTATCGAGGATTATTAAATCTTGTCTATATTTTATTGGCAATGGGTGGTGGACGTCTTGTTTTAGAAAATTTATTAAAATATGGCCTATTAGTACAATTAGATTTACCCATTATATTTCTAAAAGATCCAACGCAATGGTCAGCTTTTATATTAATTTTGCTCGTGAATATATTTATTTTTATTACATACTATTTAGAAGTAAAAGTGAAATCAACTCTATCACAACTAATTAATTTGTTCATGTTACTGATATTTCCCGTTATTTACATTGAAATAAGAAAACCAAATCCAATTGGAACTTTTCTTGCTGTCTCAATATACTCGATCGTATTTCTAAAATTAATATCGTATATTCATATAAACTGTCTATGTCGAATGCAATGGATTAATGACAACAAAGGAAAAAGTAAGTATTCGATGTCGAATGTTTGTACGCATATGATGGTTACTAATACTGATTGGAGCCTTTTCAGATAAAATAGCTAACTTTATGAGAAAATAGACTCATGTCTTAAAGTTCAAAATAATATGAAACAAAATTACTATATATTCAAAGGAACTCATATCAGTAAATGTTCCAAGATAATATTTTAGTGTCAAAGGAAGAAGAGTATCCCATTTTGTGACTACCAGGCTGTTCCGTTAATTTCAAGTTTCTTTACAACTGACAAACTTCTAACATGACCCCCATCTCGTTATTAATCATCAACTATAGCTCTTGTCAGACAGGTAGTCCAGCGCAGTTGTTTCACTCAGTTGTTTGAGCTCTCCATACATACTCACTAAATACATACAAACTTTTCGGAAAGCTACAAAGATTAACCGTTTTGTGAGAGAAAGGAGAACAATGGAAAATAATTTGTCGAAAATCTTCATTCGAACATGAGTGGTGTCTAGTATCATACTTCCGTGGAAATTCTAGAATGCAGCATAATTCTTGCTCTCACGCTGCAGTATCATCCGCTTCCAATTATACAGTCTGATGGCAGAATTGAGCAGATTATGTCAGTAGGCAGATTCGTAAGAAAGAACTCGAAGTGATTTTTCAGCGTTTTTACTGTCATTAGAATGATTTAACAGTACAACTGATATCTTTAAAATTGTGCATGGATGCTAATCGATTACTGATAATCAATCGATGTATAGATCTGATAGCAAAAGGTTGTTTTAATTTGTTTCTTGTAGAATCACGCAGTCTAATTATATCTTACATTTAGAAACTGATATATTCGAAGAATCTCTCAACGATTATGTGACTGAAAAATCGTCTACAATTCTTGTCAAATATCCTGACAATTTATCACTAAAAGATTTATACTATTTTTTATTTGCTCCTACGCTGTGTTATGAACTGAATTATCCTCGTACAACAGGAATTCATAAAAACTCTCTTGTGCGTCGCTTATGTGAAATATTATTCTTATCATCTTTAGAATATATTCTCATTCAACAATGGACATTACCTATTTTACGTTCAATCGATCGTCCGTTGAATGAATTAAGTACATTTACAATTATTGAACATTTATTACGTTTAGCCATAGCAAATCATTTAATTTGGTTAATATTTTTTTATCTCATATTCCATTCATGTTTAAATGTTGTAGCTGATCTATTACAATTTGATGACCGACACTTTTACAGGTAATGTATGACATAGACTATTCGAGTTCTAGCTTTTTCGGCTTACTAACATTATTTTCTGGGAAAAAAATGTTGTTAACATCTCAAGCAAGGATTTATTATTTAGAAAATACCTGTCCGTTCTCTATTCATCATAAGAACTTAGTTCTTGCGTAAATCGATAAGTTTTTCTTTTGATTGCTCAAAAAGCCTAGTTTTCTAACGCTAAGGAAAAAACTTAACAGCATTTTTTTAAGTAATTAATTTTTTTGTTAGCGAAACAATGCTGAATGGATGCTTTGAATGGATACTTCAAAGCATCCAGTACAGATCGTGAAATTAGTGGAAAAATTCAAGACTTAAAAAGTTCGCTAATTTTGGGTTCAAAGAATGTTCTTTCGCAGCACCTTACCATAGTTTCGCGTGAAGCAAAACTTTGAATACAGCAGTTGTTCAAGATGGGGTTCTGAAGTGCTCACAAGAGCAGTTTCAAAATTTTCTTTTTTTGGCTTTCAAAACTGAAAAATATGAAATTTTATAATTTCAATCGTAAATTTAATTAAAAAATCAAAAAAAAGAATTTTTTGATTGCCTTTGGCAAAAGCTTTTGAGCAAAGCTGTCTTGAGAGACAAACTAGCCGCAAGACTTTTTTAAAATTCTTTTAGCTCTAAAATTCCATCAAGAAGGTAAAAGTTAAATTTTTGAGTCAACCTTTACATGTGAATGATAAAACGTTTTTTCCGTATACAATTTAATGCCCTTGATCGAGCTACGCCAGAACCAACTCTTCATATTAAAAACTGAAGTATTTATTGAAACTTTATAAACGAGACAAAAAACCCGAAATACTTTACAAATTTGTTTTATTAAAAGCTTCAATTTCGGAAAAATTTCTGAAGCATAAACTCCGAAGTTTTCTCTACAAATTGGTGGGAAAAATAGTGTAGAGTTATTGTTTGCTAAGCTAGAAAATGCTAGTATATCTCAAAACGACGCTAAACATTGCGGTAAATTTCTCACACAATACTTATTTTTAGAAAGAAAATTATCTATCTTTTAGTGACTGGTGGAATGCCGAAGATATAGCGGATTTTTGGAAGAAATGGAATATTCCTGTTCACACCTGGTGTAAACGTCATATTTATAAACCTTTGATCAAAGACTATGGCCTATCGAAAGCAATGGCATCATTTTTCGTTTTTTTAATAAGTGCTTTTTTCCACGAGTATCTGATAAGTGTTCCATTGCGAATGTTTCGTATATGGAGTTTCATTGCCATATTAGTTCAAGTACCAATGGCTTTCATTGTTAAATATATGAATCGTGAAGCACGTTATGGTAATATAGCTGTGTGGATTTCGCTAATATTATTACAGCCAATTGCTATCATTTTATATCTACAAGATTATTATTACAAAGATTACGTTCAACAAAATTAATTTGTAACTCTAACAGTAATTTAGACTGTTTGCTTATGTCACAATAAACTATGTAGATAAGAAATTGAATGCCACCATGAAACACACAATATACAATGTAATGTGTAAAGCTGCGTATGTAATTATAAAATTTTCTTACTATAGAATATTAAATTTAGTTGTAGCATTCCAGAAACATAAGCGTCAATATGTCGGAACTATTATCGTTAGGAGAAGGATATTATGTTGTTCTGAAACTTACTCAACTTTTAGCTTTTGTAGTAGATATTTGATGCAGTTCGAAAACTACAAATAGAAGATTCACTTTTACTACTTCGAAAATAAGATAATTTGGTAGGACAACATTTTCCATCAGTAGATTCCAAGGTAATTTGACTACACTTTAAAAAAAACATGCGACTTTGGTAGTGTGTTTATGACGAAAAAGTATCGTTTATGTAATGACATTGCGTCTTCAGAAGAATAAGTATCCCTCATGCATCTGCAATATGCCAATGGGTATGCACGTGGAAGTCACATCAGAGCCGCATGAACGAGACTGTGAGGAAAAACGACCTTTAGCAGTTCCGTCTTCATGGGCGCTTCAACAATATACGGTTCATTGATTGCTACCGCTTACTTAATGTTTAATTTCACAGGTTAGGCCGACTAACTAACGCCTTGGAGCGTCTGAGTGACGAGTTAGAACTTTGTTTTTATTGCTTTTTATAAGAGTATTTTCGAAGGCGTTAGAATTAAGTCCTAGATTTTTCAAGTCCAATGTAATTTCACAAATAATGCGTTTGAACGTATTTACTCGCAATAAGCTCGTGCGTGCTCGTTAGATTAATTTTTGTTTTTAACACATATTAGCGCGCATTACAGTATCATTAGTATAATTTAGTCCAAAGGTAAACTTTATGCTTTAGTGTTTAATTCCAATAACTGTGTTGTTTTGTGCTTTGCTTTCCTTCTGTTCTATCCTAGTCTTTCTCTCAACTTATCTAAACTGTTCCAAATCAATTTTTCATTTATTCTTACTTTTCGGGCAATGAAATGGATTCTCAGATTAAAAATATGAGATTGTTCGCTCTCCCATATATTTGATATTTTCATCCAATAACACGGTCATATACATACATACATCATATTGCATGTTTAACATCGCTAGAGAGACTATGGTATGAATCTAAATATTGTCGATCATCGATTGTGTGTGAAAAGAAAGAACCCTAACAAATAAACTGATTCATTCATTTATTGTTTATGTAGATACAATACAATACACTCGATCAAACTGACTTCTGTTATTTGTCTGCACACATAGAAAAGAACAAAACATAAAATTCAAACCTGTAAACTAAACAGAATTCTGTATGCTTTCTCTCGCATGGTGATGAATACCTCACAGATACAGTAAGGTCATTTATTAATAAATGATTAACTATAACCGTTATTCTTGCTAATGCCAAAGAAAGTATACAGCGCTTTAGGAAGTATATGTTTATGGTCTATTACGAGTCCAAATGCAAAATGCTATTTTCTTTTCTTCACATTCGGCTAATCGAATGTTCTTTTATTAACTAATCGCCATTGCCATCGGTATCTGTATTATACTAAAATGTTTTGTACAATATCGCACATTCAACGAAGAATTATGCGGTAAACTAATTATGCGGTAAACTAGCAAAACATATTCCACCCACTACGCAGTTAGCCGCCAAATAGTTAAAAAATCTTGCTGGTCATTCACTACCTTTGGGATAATACGAAATATCAAACTAATTAGTGATGACGATGGAAGTCGTACTTATCATATACATATACAAAATTTTACCAAATTGTACTGTCAAATTTAAACAAGATTCTCTGATGTCAGGAACAGGATTTTACAGTTATGCCTATAACCAAATATTTTTACGTATACAAAAATCAGTTTTCACTCATATTACTGATACCTACCATCCTGTGAACACTTTAAAATTTAAGAAGATGAAATAGTATGAACGATCTATTCAAAGAGATTGAAAAAAGAGGGTTTGTATATGGTAAGGCACCAAAGATTTGACCGAATTCAAGTATAATTCTGACCATGGATATCATAAAAAAGAACATTCTGCTGAACGCGATATAAAATCTTCTGATTTATACTGCATCAACGATCTCTTTGTTTTGATGAATGATTGCAGAGGACATTAACGTTTCGATAGCTACTCATACCTGATAAACATGAAAAATGAAAATCTACAACTCTGCCATATTTAACACAAGATTATTTATTTGCAAATATTTTATTTACATTTTTATCTTAAAAAAAACATACATTTGTCGATCACAGAAGAAAAAAACACAAAAATTATTAAAGAGCTGTTTTATTTATCTCTCTGTTCTATCCGTGCATACATGACAACTACAAGAGCGGATTCTGGTGTACGTTGCTGATGTTATATATTTTGATCCAATAGCTGTACATTCCATTTTTACTGGCTCCTTGTAGGTCGTCGCAGGCGCACAGCATTTACATTGCGTACTACCCAGTGCATACAGTACATTGCCTAACTGAAGTTGATTACTAGCTTTTGAATCACAACCACCAGCACATTCTTCCCGTCCAATTTTTGCAATGGAAGTGCAGTTACCAGCTTGTACATACTCATCAGGCAATGTTTCAACACGACATTTTGATTCAACTGAATATAAAAAAGAAATGTAAACTTCATGCCACTCATCATACAAATAGTGGAAATAACATTCAAACCTAGTCTTGGGGGTAACACTGGCCACAAATTTGCTGAACAGAAAAAAACTCTACGTACTTTGCGTTTTGTTACATACACCACAACATTGTCCAGCGGTTGCTGGGATCCATGTGTATCGATAATCTTGATCCTTTTTTTGTTTTTCTAAACATGTTTGCTCATTGTCCGAACAGGTCGATGTACAATGTACGGTGCCTCTTGTACAGATGCATACTTCACATTCATTATCAGGATTTGTAAAAACAGTATTTGACTACAAGAGGTGAAGAAGATATTCATAGTGATTAATAGATATATCTTTATAAAACTCGACCTACCGGAATTTTTGTTAAATTTCCACCGGGCATATAACATTCAATATGTGGTGTGGTAGTATATTGAGGTGACACAGTTGTTGATGCATAACATAATTTTCCACAAGCTTCTTGTTCTCTTTCTCGCAATATTCTCGTACCATTTATTGCTGTAACATGTTTTGTTTTTGTATGGCTCAATTTTTTACATTGTATACCGTCACATTCTGGTGTAGGTGACGAACATAGGCGATAACGCTGTCGTGTACCATTACATGTCTGACTACATTCTGACCATGGTGACCACAAATTCCACCGACCATCACGACGTGAACCGGGAATGGGAATATGTTCAATATGACCATTTTCTCGACAAATCCTAAAATTCAGAGAGAATAAAGGTTCAAGTTTTATACAAAACTCGGGAATAAATACGTACGATCGATTACAAACAGTTTCATCCACTTGATCACCGACTTGATAAACTGTTCCATTCTGACTATGACAAACCACGGTACAATTAGATGAACAATTTCGAAGATTTTCTTGAGTTTGCTTGTTACAATTTACGCCGTCGTATGTTCGATATCGTGTTTGTGTGCCGTTACAAGTATCTGAACAGTCGGTGAATGGACTCCATGGACTCCATTCACACTTCGTACAGTTATGATCTGTCTTCTTTAAGCATCCATTTTTACAAGCCCTAAGATAAGAAATTGAACGATATGCAAAAATATTCTGTTCAGAAAGTAACCATCACGTAGAGAGAAAGTATACAATAACTTACCATGTAGTGCATGAATCACGAATATCACTCTCTCCATTGACTAAAGTACCATTTTCTGTTTTACATGGACAATCTGCTTTGTCCACACACTGGCCATTTGGACCCAAAACTTGATTGTCCGGACAGACACAACCTGGTAAACATTTTTCTGGTTTTCGACATTGTTGATTGCATGCCAATGTATCACACGTTTTATCACAATCATTAGAACATGGGTTCCATACTTTACCATTTGTGCAATTAGCTTCTAAAACCCAAGCATGTTAATTACGACACATAAAAAATAAAACGGTGTAAAGGAAATCGGCATCTTCCACTTACCACACGGATAGACACTGCATGGTTTTTTTTCATGGGTACATCCCTCGCATGGTAAGCCTTTACATGATGGTTTTGGATTATTACATTTTCTCGTTCTTTCTTGTATTCCATAATCGCATGATTTTGAACATGGAGACCAATCAGTCCACGGCGAGAATGCTCCGTCTACTTTGCAACAATCAATATTGCACGGTTGTACTTCACGTAAGTTTGTTGGCGTACAATCTGGAGCGTTTATTGTCTGACGTTCTCTCGTTCGTTCACGTTGACCACCGCCGCATGTTTGTGAACATGTTGACCATTGAACCCATTCTGTTAGATTACACGTACAATTAAATCCTTGTACGCAAGTACAAGGATGGCCAACACACGGCATTATTTCTAAGGTAACATTTGCACACAGCGCATTATCATATGAAACAATTTTCTTCGTTCGAGTACGATTTCCCATTTGACCACATTGTGCATCACACACAGTCCAGTCACTCCATGGATAATATCTGCATTCTTCTGCAAAAATAAAATTATTATTATGGAAAGACCACGAGACGTGAAGTTCTTATTAGCTACCTTGGCATGGAACGCCGACTTTCTTCAGTCCAGTTGCATCACAAATTAAATCTGTGCAATTATTTATGTATATAACACCACTTCGATCGACTACATCGCCAATTCGTACTTCAATATTTGTTTTTTGAGCTGTTGTCGAGTTTATCATATACCCAACAATATCTAAATTATCAACACAGTAGAAGAAAATGTTAGAATAATAAACCCTTTTTTACCATTGCTTGGTGGATTTTTCTTAATGGTTTTGATATATTGTTCTAGTGTTAACGTACATATTCGGCATGAAATATCACCACATGGTCTAGAGTCGTCCAATGGCTCTGAACATGATGTACCGTTGATCACTGTTCGCGATCGATATTGGGTTCGTTCCGGTTTACATTCTGGTGAGCAAGTTGTCCAATTACTCCAAGTGCTCACTAAACATGGAGTTTTACTAGTCATTGGAGAAGTTGATAATGTATTGCGTGGTGTCGTTATTGTCATTGTCGATGATGGTGTAACCGCCGTTGTCGGTACTGCAAAGTGCAACGTTGTTTAGCTTAAAGTCAATTATGAAAAAACTAATTATACCATTACCTGGCGGAAAACATCCAATAATTTGTATATTAATATATTTTGTTCCTTCACTAAATACAAATTGTATATCAGTTGCATAAAGATTATCAAAGACTGTATCCGGTTTAATCATTCTAGCGAATTTTTTCCATTCATTTGTATTATTTAACGTTTTGATGTTGATTATAACACTAAAAAAGTTTTCTGCTTTAATTATTATTTCACCCACGGGTATTTGCGAATGATCATTAGTCAGTCTAACAATAATTGAATCCGAAATAGATGCTGGTGTATAACCGGCACCATTTGGACGAACTAATGATCCGATCACAACATTAGTACCAGATACAATATTTTGATTCGGTATTAGTTGAACATCAGACATGCCGTCGGTTATTAGACAGGGTTTAACAGTCACAGCAGTTGAACGATGTGTGGTTGTGAATGGAACAACTAAAGAAATTGAGATAAAAATAGAAAATGAGAGAAAAACACCAGATTCACACCTACTTTCATAGAAACATCCAATTACATCTAAAGTAACATTTTTTGGACTTTTATTATCTGTTGTATCAAAAAAATGTATCACTATTGAGAGAACGTCTTCAACTTGTAGATTATTATCTAATTGCGGTCGATTTGCTGGAGATGTGATGGTTTTTATTGATTGATTATGAGAGTTATAGAAGTCGACGGCTAACTGCAGAACATTTGAATGACTTTCAGGTGGAATTTGTAGAAAAAACATTTTGCCAACACGCTGAAAGACGATTCGAACGGAATAATGAGCTGCTCCCTCGGGAAAGTTAATACCGCTTCTTCCAGGTACAATTTGCTCTATGTGCTGAACAAATGGTGACGAATAGATGTCATCAACAACGCCAATATTCGGATTCATTGCTTGAACTTTAACACAAACACGTGGTTCAGTACCCGTTATCAACGCATGTGTCGTCAGTGATGGAGAAACCAGTGATGATGCTGTAGTTAAGCCGTTAACAGGTCTTACACAACCAATAATCGATACTGAAACATTATGTGGATAGGAACCGTCCGTTGTATTCGCTATTTTTAAAGCAATACCGCCGATGGGACCCGGAGGAACCAACTGTTCGATCTAGAAATATTCCGAAGTTCAATAGAAGTATTTGTGCATAAAGACGACACGATCTTACAGTTGTCACTGTTGGACTCGTTTGTACAATCCACAAATTACCAAGAGCATTTTTTATTTCAGAACCTTTTTCATCATAAAATAAACATTCAATCTGATTCACATTCGATTCACCATTCTTCGACGAAACCGAAATCAGTTTAATGTAAGAAACTTCAACAACATTTAGTTTAATCAATAACACAGGGTACCGCGTCTCAGAAAACGATAAACCAGGTTTATCATCACGTAAAACATCAGGTGAAATAATACCACCCGGCTGAATTTCGACCGACTGAATTAAGTTAGGATGAAAAAACAAATCTTCAAAGTAACATTCAGTAACGCTGCTTGTTCCAGTAAAGCCGATCGTTTCGGCGTGTGTTCTTTCCGTGTGCGTTGTTCCGGAGTAGATCGTCCCCGTGTGGGTTGCGCCGCTGGTCATGCCAGATGCTACGGAGGAACCTGTAAGGTGAACGAATCGAAATAGTGACGCTATGTTACCACTTTAGAAAGACAGAGTGCTAGTAAACGACTGCTGTGTGATAAAGAATCAGCGATGCCCACTGAAAAAAGTACAGCTGGACAAATTACAGGAAAAGGGGGACATAACCAAGACTGTTTTTTCCAGAAAGCGGAAAAGCACAAAACACAAATATTTATCCTGCGATATTATTCAGAGAAATAAACGCACGTACGTACAGTCTGTTATGTCGGTGTTTCTAATATGATAACGTAAAAACATAAAATTCAATACAAATACCTTTTGTCACACGAAACCCACTAAACGGCACTCAGACGTTATTTTTTACTAACCTGCTAATTTTCCCATTCCACGAACCGTCTTACCGCGCACGCATTATTTATCAAAAATCATAAATCATCATCAGGAAAATTCCAGCACGCTAAAGTTACGGGATTCATGTCCCCACTCTTCTTCATAAAAGTAAAGACTTAGCTAAAAGGTCTTTGTAAGATCTCTCAGAAACAACATAATTTTCAAAAAGCACCATTACGGCTATTTCTCAGCCGAAAAGATAATTACGAAAGGCTCCCCAACGCTAAAAATTTGTTACACCGCGCCACCAACAACCTTCTAACCCTGAAACTCTAACGCATATCGACAAAAACCAGGAAACCCCAAACGCATCCAGCCTCCCTAATGCAATTCTGATCATGTGGACGCTCTAAACAATAATTCATCAGAAAACGGAAGAAGCGTCTTTTAGAGTCAATGTATCCTTCCATTGAAACGTTTTATCTTAGAAAAGTTAATAATCCTTTCGCATTATGTATTTCATCTTTCAATTTGCAC